GCTGCTGCCCTATTGATTTGGGACTTGCTCACCCCCACAATTGTGTGAGCTAATTCCTTAGGATAAATTCATCCCCCCATCCATCCATCACCCATTCATCCATCCACTCATCCATCTACCATGCAGCCATCCAACCATCTATCTATCCATCAATCACCCATCCATCTATCCATACAGCTATTTATCCTGTAACCCAGGATAAACTGGTTTCTGGCAACAATTCCTAGACCTTTCCCCCTCATCATGTCTTGTGCGTCCTTCTTCACTTGCCACCATCTTGAAGAGGCAGGAGCCCCCACAAGTGCTTTGCCCAGCACATGCACATGGGCGTGCCCAGGGAGCCATCGCGAGTTTCGCGTTTATGATCCCTGCCGGGACCGGCTCTCACTTCTTGGGCTGTCTGCAGTTGTGGCAGACACGACTGCCTGCCCACCCAACAGCCCTCGCCCATCTTATTTTGCAACTGAACCCTAGTTTTGTTCCAGCAATGGGGTGCCCAGCTCCAGGGACCAGTCATGGCACTTCCAACCTCCTTGGCTGGTGATGGGAATTGGGGTGTGCATGTGACCCACGTCTGGCCCGAGAGACATTTAGGGAAAGCTGCTGGAGCCTTTGGGAAAATTACCTCCTGATTGGACAGGCCTATGGGGTGGATGCCCCACGGCCCCTTTTCCTTTCAATGACTTGATTTTTAAAAAATGGAGATATAAACACACACACGGTGACATGCACACATCTCGATGAATTTTTGCGTGTATGCCCATGTAACGACCACTCAGATCGACACCTAAAACCTTGCCAGCGTCCTGGAAGGCCCCCTCATGCCCCCTCCCAGTCAATAGCTCCTATCAGAGATAACTGCTATTCTCACTTGTATCACTATAGCTTAGCTTTTCTGCTCATATAAGTGGAATCACATGGTATATCTTCATTTGTGTTTGGCTTCTTTTAAAAATAATATATATTTTATTGACTTCAGAGAGGAAGGGAGAGGGAGAGAGAGATAGAAACATCAATGATGAGAGAGAATCATTGATTGGCTGCCTCCTGCACGCCCCCTCCTGGGGATCAAGCCCGCAACTCAGGATGTGCCCTTGGTCGGAATTGAACCTGGGACCCTTCAGTCCGCAGGCCAACGCTCTATCCATTGAGCAAAACCAGCGAGGGCTGTTTGGCTTCTTCTTTTTTTAAAAAAATATTTTTTAAAGAGCAGTTTTAGGTTCACAGCAAAATTGAGAGGAAGGTACAGAGATTTCCCATATATCCCCTCCCCTCCCCTCCCACCCCCCCACATAAATGGCTTCCCCATTATGATATCCCCTATGCCTGGTTTCTTTTGTTGAACACTATTATCCATGCTGTTACTTCTAGCAATTCTTCAACCTTTTACTTTTTTAATCGCTGTGGGATCTCCACGTTATAAGTGCATCACCATTTATGTATCCACGATGGACATTTGGGCCTCCTTTCCTGCCGTGGACAGTGCCGTGGGAGGAGGAGATGCCCGGGGCTGTGGCAGCCCCATTGTGCTGTGAAGCAACGAGAATGTTTAAAAGCTGATAGCTGACCCCTGAGGATGACAGACAGGACGGGGAAGAGGAGCAAAGGTCCTTTTGGAGCCATTAAACCGACCCCGAGACTGCCTTTCGTGGGACTTAACTTGTTAAGCCAACATAAATGTCCTCATGGCTTATGCCAGCTTTACTCAGGTTTTCTATTGTTTGCAGCCAAAAGATTCCGACACAGATTCAGACTATCCTTCCCGACCTGGGTCCTGTGGCACCTTTTCCACGGAGCCTTCCTTCAGCCTCAGTCCAGCTGGGCCTCTCTCTCACTTTGGCCTCCGATATTCCTAGATGCCTCGTTACTAATCACGTGTTCTCTTGTACCACCACGCCCCACCTTCTGCCTCATTTTTCTGATTTACCGCTACTAGAGGGTATTGGAATTGCTCACAGGGTTCAGAGCAAGAGAGCGAGGCTTTGCAGATGTAACGTTATGGTTTTGACTGTTCATGGTATCCGAGGAGAGCTACCGCATGTGGTCATTTGTAATGTGGCTGAAGGACAAACTGGAACCCGTTCTGCAGGGCTGACCTGCTGGAGTTTATCAGTCAGCCAGGGAGAGCAACTCGGGGACCCCTGGCCTTTGCTACCCACCTGGACTTGCCCCCTATTTGTGGTGCTGCGGGCATTTTGTGCAGCTGTGCTCCAATCTCTCAGCAAAGCCAGCTGGCCCAGCTTCTCCGGGAAGCTCCCCAGACTTCTCCTCCAACAGCATGATGCTCCCTCCCCAGCCATGACTAATGCCACCTCCGAACTCCCATGGGACTGCAGGAGCTTCACATAGTCCGGGGTTCATTATTGATTCAACATATATTTATTCAGCACCTACTGCAAGGGCCTATTCGGAGCCCAGGGGATGTAGCAGTAAGCAAACAAGCCCGGGCCTGCCTTCAGACCTCAGTTCCATCATGCCATAGTTACTTACCCTCGCTGTGCCTTAGTTTCCTCATCTGTGAAATGGGGATAAGAGAACCTGCTTCACAGAGTCATTGTGAAGATTAAATGCCTTATTATGGCAAGTGTTTAGAACAGTGGCTGGCACACAGCACGTCTGATATGTGTTACCTATTGTGAGAAGGTGAAACCATCCGGACTCGCTGTATTAGTCAGAGTTCTTCAGAGAAGCAGAATAGGACACACACACACACACACACACACACACACAGGTTTATTAAGAGGAAATGGCTCACGCGATTACGGAGGCCGAGAATTCCCACGGTCTGCCGTCTGCAAGCTGGAGACAGAGGGAAGCAGTGTTGTGATTTAGTCTGAGTTTCAAAGCCTGAGACCCAGGGAGCCGAGGGTGTGAATGCCGGTCTGAGGGCAGGAGAAGATGAGATGAGATGTCCCAGCTCCAACAGCGAGGCAGGGAAAAGGGGACCATTTCCTCCTTCCTCCGCCCTTTGTGCCTCAGGCCCTCAGTGGACTGGATGCTGCCCACCCACATGGGGAGGAAACATCTTTACAGACTCACCCAGAAATAACATTTAATCAGAGCACCCTCAGCAGGTCAAGGTGACACATACAGTTAACCATCACACTTGCTATAAGTGGGATTTAAATAAAAGGCCAAGAAAGGTCCTATTGTCTGTAAGAATCGGGTGGCTGCTTCCTGAGGTGGAAAGACTGTGGGAGGTAAATTTTAGACAAGTCTGAGGTGCCTGCTGTTACTCAGGTGCCAACATTCAAGGTGGTGGTTTACAGGACTGACATGGAGCCCTGGCCGGTGGCTCAATGGTTAGAGCACCGCCCCCCGGACCAAAGGATAGTGAGGTTCGATTCCCAGTCGAGGGCATGTACCTCAGTTGCAGGTTCTATCCCTGCCAAAGTTGGGGCACGTGCGGGAGGCAACCAGTCGATGTATCTCTCTCACATCGAGGCATTTTTTTTTCTCTTTCTTCTTCTCTCCCTAAAGAACAATGGAGCCCACCCAGCATGGCTCAGTGGTTGAGCATTGACTTATGAACCAGGAATCGAACCGTGACCTCCTGATTCAGGGGTAAACACCCAACCACTGAGCCACATCGGCCGAGCTCTGACTGCATTTAATCACAGCAAAACTGGTGAGCCTGGGGCTGGGGCTGGAGGTCTATTCCAGGGGATTCTCTTGGAGGCCCACGGCAGCTCCCCACACTGGGCCAGCCCAGGGGGTGCTCTGCCCCTCTGCTGCCCTCAGCCCTCCTCCTAAGGTGGGTTGTTTCTAGGGTGTTGCGGTAAGAAGAGCTACCGTTGAACATGCTTATCATTGCACTTGGCACCCTTGGGAGGTCAAGGTCGGGAGGCCATCATCGGCCCAAAGATCCTAGCTACTAAATGGGTGTATTTGGGAGGCTTGGCCCTGGTGTCTGCCTTAGTCAGACTGCCACTGGTGCTTCTGGGAGGGGCCTGGCCAGCTATGTGACCTTGGCCTACGGTGAGTCCTTTTCCTTGCCTATGGCAGGCATATCAGTGCTGTCCCTGCCTTCCTCGTGGTCTGCTGTGCACACGGGAGATGCGGCTGCCTCCTGGCTTGGCACTTCTCCTGATGGCCATCCAGCTACTGCCCATGCCCGCCTCCACCTCCCTCCTCACCTCCGAGGGGTGAACTGTGCCATGAGACCAGGCTGGGCTGTGTGCTGTGGGCGGCTGGGGGGAGCTTTGATCTCTCCTCTTTGATGTGGAGGCTGTCTGCTGGGCCAGGACGGTGCCCCAGACAGTGGTGTCTTTGTGAACCCTGTCCTGGGACATCTGCCCACAGAAACCTGTGGGCTCAGAACTGTCTCTTGGGGGGAAGCAGCCGCCGGGAGAAAGGGAACAATGAGCTTGTCATGTTCAGGATGAAGCAGGGCCTGGGCGGGAGCTGGCACTGGCGGGTAGGGAAGGCCAACTCAGGTGCCCTGTTAGCGCCTGAGGAAGGAATGGCTTGCAGGCTGGCAGGGGTGGGAGCCTCTGGAATGTGTGGGAAGGGTGTTGTCGTCTGTGGTCCTACGATCAAGTCCCCACCCAGTTCTCTCATCCTGTGCCACCTTGTCCTTTTCTTCCTGCTTTCTAACCCATACTGGCTGTACTCTCCCCTGCCCCAGGGCCTTTGCACATGCAAAATCCTTTGCCTAAGATTTTAATTTTTCAAATATGCAGAAAATTAACAGAACATAATTATTCAGGTCATCTGGGTACCCATCTCTGAACAGATATTAACATTTTGTTGCCTTTGCTTCAGAACACTTTTTTATTGTGTTAAAAAAACACAACAGGGCAGGGAGAGATCAATGGGGGAAAAAGGAGGCATATGTAATACTTTCAACAATAAAGAATTTAAATTAAAAAAACAGAACATTAAGTTTGTCATCTGAGCATTTCAATTAAGTATTTGGTTAAGTTATTTACATCGGTGTGCAATAGATCTCTGGAACACTTTTATCTTGTAAAACTGAAACTTTATACCCACCAAACACTAAAAATATGGACCGCTTCACAAATGTGCACGTCGTCCTTCCACAGGTGCCGGCTGATCTTCGCTAGGCTGTTCCAACTTTAGTCTCTGTGCTGCTGAAGCGGGCACAGGACGCTTGCTTTTTAACCATTTCTACTCAGAATTCAAAAGGCAGAACAGGGTATGCAGTGTCCTCCCCTCCCTGCCCTCTCAGAGGAGCCCAGCGGGTCCTCCTGCAGACTGGCAAGGCCATCGGAAACGAAGTCTGAGAAGCTGTCACAGACTCGAGGAGGCCAAGGTGACGTGACAGCTCTACATAACGAGGTGTCCTGGTTGGCGTGAAAGTGGACATCCCGGGAAAAGGAGTGAGATTAGAGTAAACTGTGGAGCTAGGTCAGTGACGGCGAACCTTCTGAGCTCGGCCTGTCAGCATTTTGGAAAACCCTCACTGAACTCTGGTGCCGTGTCACATATAGAAATTGTTTGATCTTTGCAACCGTAGTAAGACAAAGACTTCTATTTTTGATATTTACTTTATATATTTAAATGCCATTTAACAAAGAAAAATCAACCAAAAAAATGAGTTCGCGTGTCACCTCTGACACGTGTGTCATAGGTTCGCCATCACTGGTCTAGTTAATAGTAGTGCTGATTCCTTAGTAGTGAAAAATGGACCACACTGATGGAAGATGTGAGCAATAGGGAAACGGGTGAGGGGTGTACAGGAACCCTTTGTATTATCCTCTCAACTTCACTGTAAATGTAAAACTACTCCAAAATGATTTTTTAATTTTAAATTTTATTTAAAAAATATTTTTATTGATATTAGAGAGGAAGGGAAAGGAAGAGAGAGACAGAAACATCAATGATGAGACTCATGGATCGACTGCCTCTTGCACATCCCACACTGGGGATCAAGCCTGCAACCCGGACATGTGCCCTGACCGGGAATCAAACTGTGACCTCCAGGTTCACAGGTCGATGCTCAACCATTGAGCCACACTGGCTGGCAAAAGGTGTTTTTTTTAAAGGCAAGAGGCAGACAAGTAAATATTAATGCTATCCTCTGCATATACATATGCAAATACACTGACACTTGCATATGCACAGAATAGTTCAGAAAGCTTATTCTAGAAACCAGTTCCACCAGAGGCCTCTGAGAGGAATAAGGTGCTTGAAGGTCAGGAGGGGAGGACATGGCTTGATAGGTTATTTATTTATTATTTATTTATTTTTAATCCTCACCCCAGGATATTTTTTCCCATTGATTTTAGAGAGAATGGAAGAGGGAGGGAAAGACAGAGAGAAATATCGATGTGAGAGAAACACATTGATTGGTTGCCTCCTGCACGAGCCCCGACCATGGCCCCAGCCGAGGAGGAGCCTGCAACCAAAGTACATGCCCTTGACTGGGATTGAACCTGGGACCCTTCAGTCTGTAGGCCGATGCTCTATCCACTGAGCCAAATGGGCTAGGGCTGATAGGTCACTGATTTCAGTGCTGAATAACATTCCCATGGCTGGGTGTACCACCGTTTATCCATTCACCTTCTGAAGGATAGATACCTTGTTTGCTTCCGCGTTTCGGCAGTTATGAATAAAGCTACTGTTTCAGAAGATTTTGTTGTTGATTCATTTGGATTTTCTATAACGACACTCACGACACTTGTGAATAAAGACAGTTTTATTTCTTCCTTCCCAATCTTCATGCTTCTCATTTCCTCTTCTTGTCTTATTGCATTAACTAGTACCTCCAGTATGAGGATGAAAACTGTTGTGAGGGGAACATCCTTGCCTTACACCTGATCTTAGTGGGAAAGTTTCTCACCTGCAGCGTGACGTTGGCTGTGTTTTTGTTTGTTTGTTTGTTTGTCTGGTAGATGTTCTTTAGCAAATTGAGGAAGTGCCTTTCTATCCCCAGTTTGTTGAGAGTTTTAAGCATGGTTGGATGTTGGATTTTGTCAAATGCGTTCTCGGCATCTATGGATAAGATCACGGGATTTGTTATTATTTTTTTAGCTTGTTGATGTGATATTAATGTTACTGTTTATGTTGATCCTCAGCTTGTCCCTAATCTCACCAGTGGGGGCCTTTCAGGCTGCTCGCTGTCCTTATGACGTGGCCTCGTCTAGCTTTGAAGCTTCCTTACTTTCTGGCATAACACCATGTTCCACGCTTGTCTTGTATGTTTCCTGCCCCCCCCCCCCCCCGAACAGGCCTCTTTCCCAAGGACCCCTGGTTCCGTGTGGTGGGGGAATACATTTAGAAACCAAGATTTGGGCCCGAGATGCGCTCACTGCTATTTCAGGTGGGGGTGGGGGTGGGGGCAGGTGCTCCCAGGCATCTCATTACACCCCTTTATTTCACTCTAGTCAGGCCTGCTGTGCTGTCCAGGCGTCCTCCTCACTAGGCTACTCTGTCCCTGGCCACACTCTTTACCCAATTGTTTCGAACACCCTGGTGCTGGGCCACCCCTGCCCCTGGGTGACAGACACCCTGCTGTTGCTGGGGCTTCAACACCTGTGCAGGGCCACCTCCTCACATGGACATCCTCTCACCCACTCCAGGCCACTCTTCACCAGTTGCTTTCCACGTCCACCCTTGCTTGGCCCCGCCTCTCCTAATTGCTCAGAAAGGAAAGGGAAGGGGTGGGAAGAAAAGGAGGAGGAAATGAATGTGAACTTTTTACTAACGCCTAAAATCCATAAAAAACAGTGCACAAATGATAGGCCTGAAGTTCACTGACTCTTTACAAAGGGAACACATTCTGTAACCACCACTCAGATGCACTATATTCTAGGGTGGAGAACAGGTGGACAGGGGGTTAAGGGTGGATGCAGGAAGGATTGTTGTGTGCCGATGTCCAGGTCCGAGGCCATGGGGCCTTAGAGTGGGGAGGATGTGGTGAAGGGTGAGAGGTGGCTGGATTCAAGACTTGTCTGAAGGAAGAGCTCACAGAATTTGCTCCTAGATTAAATGTGAAGCATGAAGGAAGAGAAGTCAAGGATGGCCCAAGAATTTTGACCTGAGACCTGGGTAACGGATGCTGCCTTTGCTAAGATGGGGAAGACTCAGAGAGGCCCTTCCTTATCTTGAGAAAAACCAAGTGCTCTCACTCATATACGTTAGATTTCAGTTGCCCATTAGACATCCAAGTGTGGAGGTCAAACAGGCTGCTGAGGTTACCAGACAGTGGTGTCTAGAGAGGCCTGGTTGGAGCTATCCGTGGGAAGGACATTTAGAGCTGTGGACTGGGTGAAATGCCCAGAAGTGAGAACAGATCTGAGCGATCTCTTAGCCTTGGGGCATTTGAGACGTGGAAGAGGAGTCAATAAAATAGCCTGAGATATTCGTTGCCTCATCTATAAAATGGGTATAACATCTCTGGTGGGATCATGAAGGATTGAGTTGATAAAGACCCTAGTGGGTAATTAACGTTGACCTTTCCATCTCCCACTCCCTTGCAAACTTGCCCTCCACACTTTCCATGGCCCCAGACGCTCCTGTCTCTCTTACTCCCTTTGCGTCTCTCCCAGTTTTTAAGTCCATCTCACAGTACACTCAGTGGCCCTTCTTCCCTCCTTTTGATGAGGATTTGCTTGCAGAATTTCCTTCAATGAACTACCGTCGCCTCCTCTCTCCCTCCCCATCGCCTACCACCTAGTTTAAGAACAATAACTTTACCACTGGTTTTGAAATCTTTTGTGCGCCACTCTCCCCATCTTACTCCCTAACCTCACTCCTCAGAGATAGTTTAACCGGATGAATAGGTTTCTAAAAATAAGTATTGTCTGCTTTTTGCATCTTTGAACTTTGTAAAAAACGGAATCTTGTATTCTTCTGTGACTTGCTTGTAGTATTTAGCGTTTTGTTCCTGAGATACAGCTGCATCGCTGCGTGCAGTTGTAATTCATTTCTTTTCTCTGCCATATGGGTATCCCCCCAGTTTATTTATGCATTCTACAGTTGACTGACTTTCTGGTTGTTTCCAGATTTTGCTATTACAGAGTGCTGCCATGAGCATTTTGTCTGTCTTCTGTGGTGCAGATTTTCTTAGGATAGGCACCTAGAATGGGATGTCTGCTTCATAGAGAATGCACATTGTCAACGATTCTGTATGTTGCAACATTATTTTCAAAGTGCTACCAATTTATACTCCCAACAGTATATGTGTTTTCTTTAAGATCAGCAATTGGTTTTAATTTGCATTTCCTGAATACCAATGAGGTTGGATGTCTTTTTTAAAAATATATTTTTATTGATTTCAGAGAGGGAGAGAGAGATAGAAACATCAATGATGAGAGAGAATCATTGATTGGCTGCCTTCTGCACACCCCCTATTGAGGATTGAGCCCACAACCCGGGCATATGCCCTTGACCAGAATCAAACCCAGGGCCCTTCAGTCTGCAGGCCAATGCTCTATCCACTGAGCCAAACCGGCTAGGGCAAGATTGGATGTCTTTACATGTTTATTAGTCATTTGATTTTCTCTGCTGTGAAGGGCTTGCTTTAAATCTTTTGATAATTAAATCAGTTTGTCCTTTACTTCTTGGTTTTTAGGAGTTCTTTATGTTATCCTGAATATGTGTAGCAAATGACTTTTCCTAGTTCATGGCTTGTTTGCTTACTCTCTTTATGATGTACATTGATGAAAAGTTCTTATTTTACAGTAAGTAAATTTACCTTTCTTTTCCTTTATGGTAAGTCCTTTTATGTCTTATTTAAGAAGCCCTTATCCTATCCTAAAGTCATAAAAATTACTTTCTTTTGTCTACTAAAAACCTTATGTCTTTACTCTACCTAGGGTTGATTTCAGTGTATGGTGTGAGGTAAGGATTCAATTTCATTCCCCGCTCCCATAAGTATAACCAAGTGTTCCAGCAGCAATTATGGAAGAGTCCATCCTTTTCTCATTGATTTACAATTGGTCATAACTCTTGTTGGTATATGTGAGGGTCTATTTCTAGGCTCTTGTTCTTTCCATTGATCATTTTGTCTATCCTCATATCACTACTTTATTATCTTAGTACAGAAAACTTTAAAATGATTTTTGATATCTTTAAAGACACACCCCTATTTGTTCTTCTTTTGAGGTGTCTTTGTGTTTTGGACTTTCACATGTTTGTAG